TTCTGGACCATGGGGTAGTTGATAACTTGGGTTTCAAGGCCAGGATGAATGTCGGTATCATTGCGTGCTGTTGGGTTGTTGAATTGGCGACGGACGGTCAGGTAGCGAGTGGCAACAGTCGTAGCACGAGAAAGGTAGAGAGCCATCTGCTTGATCAGGACTGAACGCAGCAAGACCATCGAGCCATACGAGAGCTATGGTTCGTGAATGACCAGCAAGGATGTAAGTACAGTGAATCGCGTCAATTGATACGAAAACAGGTGTAGCTGGTTGGGTACTCGGTTACCTTGGCATGAGGGGGCTTGGTATAGATACCGTCGCGCGACACCTTGGAGAAACGCATCAGCATGTTCTCGCGAGGAATGCGATACTTTGTGAAGCGAGCGACTATTGCATTCAAAGCGATCAATTAGCTTCCTCGTTCTTCCGGATACACAGCTTCAGAGTCAACGCGAGTACTTACACCCATTGTCCATCTTGTTGAACCCGTTGTAGGCCTTGGGTCCGATGTCACCGATTTCAATGCCAGAGAAGGGCTTGTGATCGTCGAGGGATCTTAGAGGGACGACAAACACGTGTGCACCATAGTCCTTTCCGTCGATGAACAACCTTGCTTGAACGACGGCATGGGTGCAGAGGGCACCCAATCCTCCGATCCACCACTTGGCGGCCGTAAAAGTGGTACTGTTGATCTCCCACTCGTCCGTCTCCTTGATGAAGGTAGCTGTAGTCTCAAGTTTTGAGAGGTTTGATCCATGACCCAACTCGGTTTGCGCGTAGCAACCGATGATCTGGAACTTTTCCGCGGGTGGGATCCACTTGTCAATCTGTTCATCTGTTCCTTGCGAGGTGATGACAGGGATGAAGGCGCCATTATGGAGGACGATCTAACATACACAAAAGTGGTCAAGCGGTTAGACAACAGATCGTGGTGGCTCTCTTGGATTCTTTGGGACGTGAAAGCGACATACAGGGAGAGGGTCATCGATAGCCTCGATCATAGTGGCAAAGTCGAGATCGTTGAGATCATGCTCCATCTTGATCTCGGCCAAACGAGCAGACATGGCAATACCGCGCTTGACTGCTTGAGTGTGGTTTAGCCAGCCCCTAGAGCATCGGATGTAGTAGAGAGAAGAGCGAGTCGGTAAAAGGTTGAAGAGAACGACAGGACTCTAGGAAGAAAGGCAGGCTTGGGCTTTACCAGTCATCCTTGCTAAAGACAGGGTCCTTTGCGATCAGATCGATGATGAATCGGCGCTGCTCAACGTTGGCGGATCCACCGTGAATGAAGTTGGTCATGTCCTGGACATTGAATGACACCTTGGTCCTGGCGTATGCCAGATCCTTCTTGTTCTGCGACTCTGTCATTTCGTGTTCTCGGGCTGTGAGGCAGGTAAGGAGCGAAAAGGCCGACTTGGGTTGTTAAAAGGTGTGGTTGAACGAAGAGTGAAGAGACGATGAGCAAGAGACAGTTGAATGAGAAGAAAGAGGAAATGCAATGAAATGGCGATCCGATTTTTGTACTTCGGCTCCGCCTCCCCAGCGCGTCGTGATTCTCGCGTGGCACTGTTCAGTTAAGAGGACAACTACGGGTGGCGCATTCCAACCTTGTCTCCTTCTCTTCCCCCCCTTTTCTCGGCTGCCAGCCGTGCGATCCCACTCCACCGCAACTGCCACTTTTATCCCCTCCCCCAAAAAACCCCACCCACGCTTTCACTCCCTCAACCTTGATCGGCAAATAGTTCTTCAGATGATGCACTTGCATGTGCACCCATGGCACAGCATCTTTGCAGCGTAGCACAAATAGAATCTCCCCCTTTCATCCTGCAACGCTGCAATCGGGTCACACTGACTGTAGTGTGTTCAATTGCACAACATATGGGTCACCTTCAACAGCATCTACTGCCACCTCGAACCGATCTCATCTCCCGGTTATGGAGCACATTGGGCAAAGCACCAGACATGTCATGTGACATAGTAGCTGTGAATGCACGTGACCTTGTCTTCAACCCTGCCTCGCGCAGGTGCAATCTCACCATGCTCTCGCACCTTTCAGGGATCGGGATCGGGACAGCAGCTCTCTCATGCTTGTAATAGCCATCGTCTCGCCTACCCCATCAATACACCACTACCCGCAACCGTTACTCCTCGTACATTTCGCATGGCACTGGCTTAGGACCACGTTGGACGATGACAGACGCCACTTTGATGCACCTTGATTCATGAATCTCTCCTTGACAAAGTAAAACGACACTAGTGCCTCAATGGAGCAATGGACAGATGGACGGAGGACGGGAACAAATGTCACAAACCCACGATTCTCTTGTCCATGTACGAACAACTTGAAGCACATGGTGACAGACGGCTGGTCAGGACGAGGCAACGTGTGGTGGCTATGGGAGAAGTGAGGGGTGGAGGCACCTCCACCATTCATTCTTCTGAATAGGCAAGCGGGAAATTCAGCGCCTACACATCTAACTTTTCAAGAGTGACCCTTCCCCTCTTCCGCAATGCAAAAAGACGACACAAGCTACGATTAGGGATGAAAGACGAACGACGCGTATGGATATGTCAACTTGGATCCACTCTACAACATTGACCACTATATGTGAGGCCTTGGGAGAACACAGGGTGTGTGGATCAATTGCAATCGACACGGCGCGGAGGAAAGAAAGAGGTAGGGTGGATGCGGTTGAAGCTGTGATACAAGTGAGACTGGAGTAGCGTCATGTCTATGATCGGCTAAGACGGGCAGGCCAACCGACAAGAGAGTCCACACTCTCATGACCACGACTCTTGATGCAAGGATGAAGAGTTTGTCAGCGCGGGAGCCCATCCATGCCAACCATCTCCTCTTTGACCAGAGACGATCCACAACAGAGGTTTCCATGTCGAGTACAGTATATATGAACCTCTTCTCTCATCAACACTCCCTCAACGCTCACAATCTACATACACACAGAGCATACACATCACTCGCTACCAATAACCCAGCTTCTCACATCAATCATCGACACTGTCGCCATCTTTTGTCATCATGGGAGTCACAGTGGTCAAACCAACCCCTCAGGAATTGGACATCAATGCGTTCCAGCATGGATGTCAGGACACTTCAAAGTCCCTGGTAAGGCTGTCTCATTATGTCATGTCCTTGTGGCTCCAAACACAAGTGCTCCTTTAACCCTATCTCCTTCTCTTTTCAGCGCGACTTTTTCCTTCCACTTGCTTGACGTCAACTGTGGCGATTCGGATCATTGGACTATCCGGCGTCGTAGCTCCCGTAAAGGGAAAGCAGTCGGTGATCTGGAAAGAAGGCGACGGTCAACAAGAACCCGACGAAGCGGAAAAAGAACAAACCGTTGGTCATGCTCTGGCGGAATCTACCCATGTGGTTCGCGAAGAGAACAGGGTAGACGAACTCGAGAAGGAAAGCGAAGACGATGCCCAATGTGAGGATCATGAAGTGGATCAAGCCGAAGAAGCGGGAGATGGAGACTCGGCCGATGAACCTGAGAATGCGGATGCCTGTGAGGAGTTTGGCGAAGAAGTCGAGGATCAGGATGTGGACGAGGGAGAGGCTCCTCCAAAGAAGGTGCCTACCAATCGACCAACCACAAGAAGGGCGACCGTACAGTCCAACGCTTCCATTGGGATGATCTCAGTAAGTTTAAAGTGCATCCAAGAACACGTTTGAAATGGATGATAATGGATGTACCATCTAACGGCCTTGAACTGCGCGTGGGATAACCAATAGGATGGTATCAAAACCGATAATGAGCGCGAAGGATCGACGCGTTCCACTCTAAAGGACTACATATTCAGGCACTACAACGTCAGCTACACTAGTATGGAGCCCAACTTCAGGAATGCTGTCAAGGTAACATGGAGAGACTATCCTCTCTTTATCCCATGTCGTTGACATTGCATCCTTTTGCTAACGAGCTGAACGATGCATCGGAACTGATAGGAGGGGGTTAAGCAAGGTGTCCTCAAGTACATGAGCGGTATGGTCTCTTCTTCCACACTTTCAATTGATGCCGCCAATTGGTGACAATTGGGTTGTCTCCCTTCTACTGAACACTCCGATGACCAACCTGACACAGTGAACTACATTCGTCTGGCTGTTGTTCCTAAACCGCCAAAGTCCGCAGCTGCCACGTCATCCAGAAGAATGACTCTCAGGTCGTGGCGTCAAGCGACAAACTCTCGATCCATTGTCGCCACTACTCAGGCGCGTCCGCCACGAGCGGGATCATCCAGCATGGCCAGGATCCCGTCGACGGCTACATCCAGCCCTCGCTCGGCCTCCACGGCCCACCAAGCTGCATCGAAGACTACACCGACGACAGCTCGAGGTAGATTCACTGTTGGAACTTTGGCAGCGTCTCCCGCCAAAGGCAAGGACAAGGCAAAGACTACGTAGATGAAGGGTGCCCCGAAAGGAAAGCAAGCGGTTGCCAAAACGGATGCAAAGGTTTTCAGCGAAGGCGGGACCGTCGAGGGCCGCACCTTCAAAGGCCACACCTACTGAAAGCTGCACCTGCAAAGAGCACTCATGCGATGGCCACTCGTTCCAAGACGCCCCGCACTTCCAGGACTGCATCGAAAGTTCCCGCCACGTCATCCCAGACCACACCTCCTTCCAAGAAGCGCAAGCGCGACAAAGATCCAGTAGAAGAGGACGAACAGGAAAAACAGAAAGACGAGGGACAAGCAAGATGATGAACCAATGGGTTCAAGCTCTCAAGCTTCTAATCGAAGCACTAGATCCACGACTCGGTCTGCCAAGGCTCCACGAACTCGTTCTTCATCGACAGCTGGAAGAACTTCGCGACAGTAGATCCCCTCTTTGCTTTGAAGCAAATAAAGCGACTTTATATCGGCTCCTTTGTCTTGCATCTGTGTGATAGTGAGGCCAAGTCACATGATGGTTTACGTACATACGTAGAAATGAAGACCACCAATATGAATGAGCAATCTTGGGCCGAAAAACAAATGTGGCGAGTTTCGGATAGTGGTTATTCCGTGAGGTTTAGGCCCTCTACCTTAATTGGTGCATGGGTTCGAGTCCCATAGCTCGCATAGGATGCTTTTTTGCCCCAGGACGGGGCCTTTTTTGCGTGGATTCCCTCGCAAGGTTGTACTTTCTTATTCTCACAGGGTTCCATTTTTACATCAAGTTCCCGGGTCTCAAAATTGGCAGTGTTTTTTACATGGATTTCCTTCGAGAATTGGAGGCCGCCATCACTCAAAGCGTTTTCGCAGGAAATCCATGTAAAAATGGACCCCTGTGAGAATAAGAAATCACAACCTTGTAAGGATGTGTTCATCCTTTGGCCAGGTCCCAGCATCTTGACGTGAGACTTGGAAGAGGGCAATTGGACATGTTCGCGTGTGAGACCGGGGGCTGTGCACTTAGCCAAGCCACCGGTTTTCAAGTTGGGCTGACATCCCTTGACTGCAGGAATCGCTTCTTCACTCCTCCACTCTTGCAATGGATTCAGACGACGATGAGTTTGTGGGCAAGGAGGGAATGCCATCCTCCACTGGCGACGCCTCCTTGGCAAAAGAGTTTTCGCTCGACAATCTGCCTCCAGAGTTTGTCTCATTCTTGGCGAAGAATGAGATTGATCCGGCCATTTACACAGTGAAGGACCTGCCTCGGTATATTCGACTGAACCCTGACCCACAGAGGACGACTACAGCTGAGGAGCTAGAGAGGGAGCTTGGGACAAAGGTGGAGCCTGTTGCTGGGTTGGAGGCGTTTTGTAAGCTGAGCGGACAGGTGAAGCTGCGAAACAGCCAAGCGTAAGTGGGACAAGGAAGGGGGGGGGAGGTGTTGAGTTGCTACTCATTGTTTATCGCCGTGCACTCACTCTTTGTGAAAGAATAGATACAAGGATGGCAAGATCTTTGGGATGGACCTGAGTTCTGGACTGGCCGTGTATGCACTAGATGTTCAGCCTGGAGATCATGTTCTTGATATTTGCTGTGCCCCAGGTATGTGTCTGGGCCGTTTGGAGGACTCGTAGTTGTCACCTCTTGCTGGTTGCTGGTGCACTGAAAAAAAGACAAACATGTTGTGGGTAGGTGCAAAACTTTGCATGATCGCGGGCTTGTTGACCAACTCTGACCAGGGACAGACGGAACACAGCATGTCTGTTACAGGGACTGTCACGGGCGTCGATATTTCACAGCACCGGCTATCAACGTGTAGGAGTTTACTGAAGCGCCATCGGCTGCAACAGTATGCTAGGCTCTTTAGAGCAGATGGGACCACGTTTGGAGTCATGAGACCCAGTGCTATCGACACCATCCTAGCAAGAAAGATGGCAGGAAAGAAGAAGGACGATGGCAAGGAGGAAAAGAGGCCGCTGCCGGAGGACCCCCAAGATGAATCACACACGGATGAAGGGAGCTCCGCCAAGCGTCAAAAAGTGACAACAAACGCTGCAGTCCACACTGGACAAACAGAGGGAACGAGTAACAGTCAACAAAGGCTGGAACCGTTCTATGCCCCAAAGATGCTCCGAAACGACCCTCAACTTGAAGGCGAGTGTTACAAGTACGACAAGGTCATTGTTGATGCCGAGTGTAAGTCCCTGTCTCTGAAGCGGCTGCTATTAGCAAAAAGTTGATGACTTGTAACTCTCTAACCTCGCTCTTCTCGATAGGCACGCACGATGGATCTATAGCACATATCCTAAAGTACGAAACGTGGGGCTGGGACAGTTTCCACAAGAACTTCATGTCGCAGGATCGCCTCGACTCTCTTTGCGACTTGCAACGAGGACTGTTAATGAACGGATTCCGGATGACAAGAAAAGGTGGGATCGTGGTATACTCGACATGTTCCTTGTCTCGAGCGCAGAATGAGGATGTTGTTGCATGGTTTCTAGCAACGATGAAGGGCCAGGCCATCTTGGAGGCATTACCAAAGCACGCCCTTGGGATTGCGACAGCCAATTGCAAGTTGCCTTGCGAACAAGTCATTGCCAGTGCCCTTGGTGTACAAGACGCCGCTGCCACACGTGCTTCGGACGATGGCGAGGTGGAGCGATTGCGCAATCATGTCAAGAGTCTGTGCCTGAGATACGATCCAATCGCCAGCAACACGAGCGGATTCTTTCTGGCAAGGATACGGAAACTGTGATAGAGTAAGAAGAGTGAATTGGCCCCATCTACATCTGGCGGTCATTGTTTTCTGTTCAATTGAAAAGTACAATCTCACCATCTTGCTCCTTTTTTTCGACTCTAGACTTTTATGGTCACCATACTCCGGCCTGCATGATCGAACCAGAGGGTAAAAAACAAACACTGAATGGTACAATGTCATGCAGCTTGCAGAGTGCCATTGACTTTTATGTCCATCCTATTCCGACCTAGACACATGTTTGCCAGACAGCGCGACATGTTTATTGTATCGAGTTGATTGTATCCTTTTGCCATCCCTATGCACTATAAGGCGCGGGCTACAGGATTCGAATGAATTATGAACAGTGGAGAAAGGAGAAACTATACACGAGGCATGGAATATGGATCCTTGGACGCGAGGAAGGAGGGAGGATGCTATATAATGATTACAATGGGAGTGATGTATGCCATCCACTTAGGCCTGGGCGGCGGCTGCCTTCTCGACGTGGGATGCTGCGGCCTTCTCGTTGATGTACTTTTCCTCCCTGGTTGTACGGCTGCGCTTGATCTTCATGTAGATGACGGCGGCGATGATACCGACCCAGTAGAGACAGTAACCGGTAATGGTACCAATGGAGGCAATGTTGTTCCATCCAACGACAGAGTTGCAAAAGGCGGCAAAGCCGCTGTTGGGATCTTTGGGGTTGCCATAGTTCAAAGCCCAGACGTTGACACGAGGATCAAAGGAACCAGCGTCATCGACATCACCGCCGACAATCTTGTTCCACTTGTCCATCTCGTAGGCATTGATGGACTTTGCAAAGAGACCAGCGGCGATCAACAACAGGAAGCAGGTGGAAGCGACAAAGAAGCGGTGAAGAGTCAATTGGTTTCCTCCCTTGTAGATGATGAATCCGAGCAAGGCACCAGCCAAGAGACCACAGATGGCGGCAAGTGGGATAGACTTGGCTTCCGTACTGAATGTAACCTATGGGAGTCAGAGAGTCAAGAAGTCAAGGAGTCCAGGGGAAACGCCACATTAGTATCATGACTGGAAACAGGATGACGGTCACGACACGTGGAGCAGGACGACTTACACCTCCGACAAAGATCATGGCCTCCAAACCTTCACGAAGGACGGTGACCATAGGCAGGATCAAGAGGGCGTACTTGCGGGAACGCTTGCCAATACTCTCCTTCTGGTCCATATTGTCCATGGTCTGAGACAGCTTTCCACGCCACTTTTCTTGCATGTCCTGTGACTTGAGCATAGCCAAGGCCATAACCGTGATCATAACGCAAGCGATCAAAGCAAAGGTACCCTCCCACAACTCTTCGTGAGCTGCAAAGACATTGTTGGCGACCGTATTCCTGGATACACAATGACATTGAGCTGGTGTGAGTTGTCATTGCAGGCTAACAATTAATGCTAGATGGTGACAAGGCAACACACACACACACACTTACCAGATGGCAATGAAAGCACCACCAATGATTAACGAGATGACAAGACCAATCATGACACCAATCCAGACGTGCCATTTGAGGCGACGGTAGAGTGCAGGATCATCGACGATGACTTGACGAATGAATGCCAGCAGGACCGAGACGATAATGGCCGCCTCGGTCGTCTCTCTGAACATGATAAAGAAGATGGGCGCTGAGAACACGGAACCCATGATGACGGACTATGCAGCAGCGACAATGGAAGAGGGAAGGAAAAGGTAATGAAGCAGAGGACGTTGGGTGAACATGTCCTTTATAAGGCGGAGACACAACATTCTGCCGGCCTTAGCAGGCGATTGTGAGCACAAGATACGTGGATGCCCCTCCCAATTACCCTTTGTTACCCGGAATCACCTTGCGGCGGATGGACTCGACGTTCCATGGACAGGAAGGCGATGGGGCAGATACAACACAAACATCGAGTTCCATATGACGGAGGGAGAATCAGATTGCAAAAGCAGTGGAGAATAATGCGAACCTTTCCGGCCATGGTTAGAGTCACGATCTGATAAACAATCGTGTCTGAGTGAGAAAATTTTGCCTCAGTTCGGTTATCAGATCCAGAGTCAAGATTTTTTTTCGCATCCAGGTGCTCACATCCAAAGGTAACCGGGCCATTGTACTCTACATGAATGGGGCGCATCATCCGCTTTCGTAACGGCATGCACTCTTTTGGCGCTGGTCTTAAAGTGTTTTGTCTCCGTGTGTACTATAGTTTGTACCTTTTGCCCCGCAGCTTGTTTGGATGGAAGGGAGCAGAGGGACAGTTGTACCAAACTCAGTAGCCGCACACCGCATCTGGTCTGAGAATGGTATTCAGATGCAGAAGGACAAGCCGAGCTTAACCGAGTGTGGTCATCCATCTCGCCACAAGCCCAGCCTAGAACACAATCTTATTTGATTACCTCTTGTGCTCTGAGCAGTCATCCCACACGCCCCTGAAAGAGAGAGGACCAAGCAACCCTTTCCCCCTCTCCTCCTCCTCCTTCTCCTTGTCTTCATTGCAAGTATGCTACTGTTCCATTGTTCCATTCTTACCCTCTCATCCTCTCCAGCTTTTAGCATCGGGAAGATCGTTGACGGGGATTTCAGGGAACACAAGCGATAACGATCGTCAGCGGCAACTCTTTGATGACTGGAGTGACTTGTTGACGGGGCGCGAAAAACACAACAATGCAAGGGAAACACGCGAGGAAAAATGACGGGACACGGGCAAGATGGAAGTCTTGGAAGTCATCATGATGGTCCCCTGCATTGCGTGTCCGACGCCGGATTGGGACTAGAACGCGTCAATTGGCTCCATAGAATTTGCTCCACGACAAACACAGGTCTCATCTCGCACCTCTTCAATCCCCGGGATGCAATGAATCTGATAAGGCACTGCAAGTCGCATTTCAAGGTTGTCGAGAGCTCAGGAGTAAGAGACATGATTTTCCAAGACA